CTAGCTTTTTCTTTGCTTTAGATTGTTCAGTTCCTTTTTTCAGTGGTTCTTCTCTGTATGTTGTGATTTTAATTTATTGTGGGGCAGTGCAGTTTTATCTACAGCAATAATAACCAAATGGAATTGTGGCTGCAATCTTCTACACTCTTAACTGTACAAAGCAACTTCAAACAGATAAACGCTCACACTCCACATGTTCAAGTTCATTTCAGATGATTCAAGCCTCAAGACACATCCTAGAATGGGTATCTACAGATAACCACTACATGAAAGAAAACAGGCCTCATTACACACAAGGTGATTGTGTATATAGAATGCTCTACCAGCAGCTTTGTACTGAAGCCTGCAACAAGTCTGATCTTTCAGTTCTTACATTGTCTACATCACTTTGCCAAATATGCAAAGTGAGACACTAAATGAAAATATAAATTCTTTTCATGGGAGAAAGAATCACATATAGCGATCAACTCCCATGACACTAGGAGTCAACTACTGGTAGTGTCTTCTAACCAGGACACTTATATTAAGCAATCAGATCTCCATCACACAGACAGATCAGTAACTACAGAACACTTAACACTGTATTACCATGTTTTCCCTTAGATCTTCATTCTGTGTCATTTGAATTATTGTCTGAAAGAGTCGAGGATGATACTGTATTAAGACTTCACAAGTCTCTCCGTAACCACCCTAAAAAGAAATAGTTCAAAAATTATTAACTAAACCTTGGAATTGGGGTTTATTCTATTATAGATATTAAAACCTAATGACAATTACATTTTTTTTTTAAATTCTGAATGGAGAAATCCAATCCTAAAATAAACTGAAATTCACTAATGTATCAAAGTTAGATATCACAATGCTTTTGGGAGAAGACAGAATCAAATTTTTTCAGTATATCAGCTCACATATATCCATGCTCGCTCTTCTGGTTTTTTGAAACACTTTACTACACAGAAAGCAAATTACATTTGAACAACACTTTACCTACCAATTTACAAGAGATTAAAAACAGTGTAGTATTTAGCTTCTCTTTTCACTGTTTATGCATGACACATCTACGTATTTACATCCAGGATCTAATCCTTCAAAACAATTATTTTTCTAAAGGTTTATAAGACACAAATCTGACTTCTTAATGGAAGAAACAGGATAAACCCATGAAAGGGTTATTTAACTTTAAAAATCAATACACAAGTACAATTCCACTTGTGCCTTAGATCAACAGCTCACACTAACTTAACAACCTTTTGAGAAAAATTTTTGGAAAGAACAGAACTTGAATTTATGGTTTATTTGTATCAGCTCTTATTTAACACAGTTGTATTTTTATGCAGGCACCTAACACCTAAATACAAATGAAATTCAACACAGGAAAGATGACCATGTAACGTTTTAAGTGCAGCAGCTCCAGAGGATCCTTCTCTTCACATAACAGTTTGTGACTCACTTCAGTAATAACACATTCATTTAATTGTTCCTGGTGCCAAGAAATTAAGTATCAAAATTAAAAACACCCAGAATCCACAAGAAATTATTAACTCAATTCTTCAAAATAGAAATATCACATTGGCAAGAAGTATACAAATCTATAATTTCATTATTCTAAAAATATTTATCTACTTTGAAAAGCAAACCCGTAAGCAAAGAATAAAATCCTTGATGCAAAACAAAAGCAAACATTTTTTTTTCTCCTTTTTTGCTTACTGAAACCACTAAGATCATCACTACAAAACAGCAAACACCAGATGTCACTACTCACTCTAAAAAAGTTGACAGAACTCTGATGTAAAAAGTGGTGCCATAGGAATTGTAAAACTGGAGACTGAAGTAGACACTTGAAACACTAATCATAAGAACTAAAAACAGTGCCATTAAGTACACACTGACATACTGTCTTAAAAGTCTGTGGCTGCAGAAAGCCTCAAAACTCACTAGACTTCTTGTGGGTTTATGGTAATGCTAAGTCATTCTGCCACAATAAAGAAAAAATGTCTAACTCTGTGTTAGACACAGCTGAGTCGGTAGTGAGACAGTACGGTGAGCTAGCACTTCTGAGCAACCAGAGCTGAGGATCTATTAGGATTTCTTGTATCTGAAAAGAAAGGCTGCAACTAACCTAACTTGATCAAGACCTTCCAAAGCTAAGTCTATGAAATATATTTTTTTCCACAACAAAGCGTTCAAAAAAAATATCCCATAGTTCCTGCAGACAGCAGCCTGTACCACATACACACAGTGATTTCAGCTGCAGGTCTTCGGCACATGAGGAATCTTCGGAAATTAAGTAACCTGAGATTATTTTAATCTGCTAGTACAGCAAAAGATATGAACATTTCAACTTCATCCTGCCAAACCAATGACAAGCATCAAGCTAATGTGACGTCAACTAAGTGCAGTGATATTTTGTAAGCCTTCAGTTTAGTTTTATAGTCTGCTGATTAACAGCAACAGTTCAAAAGCTTCCATTCATTACGTACGACTTACACACTGACCTTAAACTGATCCTACAGAAAAATGTATAAATGCTCACAAATCAAGAAAAGACACCCTAGCAAGCAGTACAAACAATATTTGGTATCGAATAAGAAAGACTGTGTTTTGCACAGTAGCTGAAAAAGCTTAAGACTTCTGTTCTTCATCCAGATAGCGTATTTGGCATGCCTTTGAAAAGTAAGAGTCAGCACCATGTAAGTTTTTGTTTTTATTAGTAACATCTCTTCAAGAGAAAAGAAAAACTGTTAGTTGATATTAAAAACTGAGAAAAATCACTCCTTTCTGCATGCTTCTACCTCTTACCTGTTAAGTGCCTATACAGAATATATTGCCATTATAACAAGGAATCCTAAACATTCAAATCAAATGAAGTTCTGCAAACTCATTGTTTCCCCAGTCTTGCAAAGTCTTTAAAGATGTTTAAGACTTTAAACTGGGAACCTGTCTGTAGGATCAATTTAATTGCAAAAATATTATTTTTGCATTTCTGTTTTGCAAAAGGACTACCATCTTTCATAAGCCTTAAAAATAAAAAAGATAATGCTGATCTGGTGGTACTGTAGTTAGTGACAGACGTTCACATAAAAAGAGTTGCTAACTCAATACCTGTACACAGAGATCCAGCGGAGTGATACCATTTTTGTCTGGTAAATATTTGGCTCCTCTCATCAAAAGAATTTGTGCAGTGTCTCTCTGACCATGGCTATTCAAAAGTAGAGAAAAAAGAAAGTTAATGCAGCCTTTACACTGAGTGATAACTCTGACTTCAATGCATTTTACAAACAAAACCAACATAAGCAAGGAGAAGACAAATGGTTACGGTATGAAACTAGTGCAGAAACACAAGGTGGAAGATAATGCCAGTTATACTCTTCTACCACCTTTCAAGGCCACTGCAGAAGCACAATGTAAAATTAGTTATGGCCTAGATACCAAGTATGCAAGGTATGGCTTAGGTATCAAGTCAGAGTCACCCTCATCATTCAGAAATGACTGATCTTAGTCTAGCCTCATAAGTGTGCACAAGATGCATTTCCTGAAACAAAAGAGCTTTTTCTCAATGCACACCTTAATTTACTCCACAGAGAAAGTTTTATTCACCGAGTTCTTTTGCTCACTCCTACCAGAATTGTGGAAAACAAACAAACAAGTGCAAATCTAGTTGCACGTTAACCATCAGTGAAACATTTGCAATTTCTTTTTGATAAAATATCCTTTTTACAAGAGTTTAATACATCTTTCTTGGCTCAGATTTCTTTACAGCCAATGCATGTGAATGTTTTGCCTAGCATTTAAATGTGAAGAGTGATGAGTTTTACTTTTCCTTTCAGAGTCTTTCACAGTCTCACTCATCTATTTATAAATTCTGTAGGACAGTTGTTTCCTGGAGTTAAGAACTTCACAAACAACTACTCCAATAGGCCATCACTGCCTAGAAAAAAATAAGACCAAAGATTATTTATACCCCTGAAAACCTAGAGTATACACTTTCCAAAACCCTTTCTTCTGAAGAAAGTGAGAAACTGGGTACCAGTGATTAGATGTTGACCTCATTAAAACCATACTGAAAGACTACTTGACTATACAGACAAATATAATACAGAAGTATCTAAAGGGTGAAAGACTGATACAAAAGACATTGCAATTAAGGTTACAGACAGAAGTTTTTCAAAGAAGTTTCCAATTGCAACCTAGTTTTCAGGGCATCCTTTACACCAATGTATACAAGTATTTGCCGTCCTGGAACAGACCGAGGCTGCCTGCACTAACAGTTCAGTAAGGGCACATGAAAAGTGACAACAGCTGAGGGGCAAGAGAGAGAGCCTCACTAGTCTCTCAACAGTTCTCAGCTCTGTTCTCCTCATTCATGTCCTTCCATTTCACGAAACCTACAGGTAAATCTAATGTACTGGACTTTGGCCCAGTGCAAACAAACATTCACAGACAGCTACCAGATTTCAGAAAGGAGCAGAGACTAACAATCTACTTGAAGTACCTCTTCACTGTAATTCTCTAGACTAAGTTTAAAACTGACCCGTTTTAAAAATACAGGTTTCAGAGTCAGACTTTGAGCACTGATACCCTTTCTCCAGCCATCACCAGTCACTGCTACCACATCCTGCTCTCCCTGTCATCAGGGACCTTTCTTCCCAGGTGGCAGCAGGAAAACTGGCACTTGGGGCAAGGAGACACTAACTTCCCCTACACACTTTGACCATTCCACCCTGACAGCTGCTTCAATTGCTGATTTCTAAAAGGACATCACCACAGTAGTTGCAACACACTCCCTTCTCATGAAAAGCCTCCACACTGAGGCAAGTTGCTTACTTCTTTCAACATGGATGCCAATACCAGTCCCTAAATCAGCTCCAAGGCATTCAACTAGGTAGCAGCTTTTATCTTCCATCTCCCTTCTCAGTTGCCAAGAGTCACCATACGCTAGCTAGCTCCAGAGCTCAGGGCTCCCACAGCTTAACTCTGGTCAGGCCACCAGGTCAGTTCGTTTCTCCTTTTGTTTGTATTAACATATAATCATAGGTGAGCTATTTAATCTGTAACCAAAGCACAGGGATTATAAAATTTTAAATATTCTACTACATAGCAGAAATACTCCAACTGAAATAGAAGGTCATTTATAGGATGTAATCAGTTTTGAAATAAAACTAAATTGTGAAGAAAACAGAACTAAACTAATCAAAGCAACAATATAATTTCAACTCAATGTTGAAACTTACAGGCTTATATGCAATATTTCCTGTACACTGTAATATCATAGTGTACATTAAAGAATAGTCAAACCTGCCTTATAAAAGGCTACATTTTTATTTTACTTAAAATAATCCAAGTTGGTAGATCTCATTTTTTCAGTCATTGATGACTCATGCTAGAACGTGCACAGCTGTTTAACATATCTGCTAGAAAGAGGTATATAAGCCTGTAGCACTAAGACAAGTATTTAGATGAAACGCTAATCTACCTTTAAACATGAGGCCAGAATAAATACCAGTCAGCTTTTGTTTCCTAAATTGTGTGTTTTCTAGTCATCGCTATTGCACAAGGGCAAAAAAAAAGCCACCACAACTATTCCACTTTTAGCATAGCATTGAAAAATTAAGCATATATAACCTGCAAGCAAAATAGAGGGGAGTTGCCCCTGACACATTGGGCCTGTTTATATCCGCACCGCTGTCCAGCAGACACTGCACCGTCTGGAAGAGAAGAAAACACCAGCATTAGAAAAAGAGCAACACAAAAGTCTATTTATTGCCTTGCAACCATCTAGTGTCACGCATGTCTAACTACAGCGAAGGACTTAATTTTCTAGAAATCAAAGTTCCTAAACACTATATGGAAAATCATGGCTGTCAGAGCTCATAAAGCTTCATTTGAACTCCCCATTTTAATAACAATGCCTTTTACTGAACTTCAGCTAATCCCAAAGACCCCTGAACTACAAATCTTTTTAAAAGGAAAACAACATTTTTTAGAGAAGCAAACCTCAAGTTAGTGACAGCCATAAACAGCCTTAACACATGCTGAAGTTTTAAACACAATAGAAGAAATAAGCAAATCAAAACATTGAGAAAATTCTCAAACAACTTTTGTTATATTCCTGTTGCATAAAGTAGGTAAGTCTACAGATAACAGCATCTCAGAATTTGGTCTTCCAAACTCAAGCTCTGTTACCAACAGAGAGGACTGTGGTGAAAGATATTTATTTATTTATTTAGCAACAGTAAATAGTCCTGGAGACAACCCATAAATGCTACACAACTATAACGCAGTTCAAGACAAGCATCCAGACCTCTACTCTGAGAAAAATTAGTCAGCCCTATTGCAAGGCCAGGTCTAAAAATTATCCACACGGATCAATAAGAGTCAACATGAACTTGTTTACTACTAATGTTAACTATCTAACTGAGCCAACATCAGGTTTATTTTTTATTCACAATAAATTAAGATTATTTTAGATGTCAAAAGCACATAACAGCTGGTACAATCACAATTCAAATATTCTAAAAAGGAAGAACGTTTTCAAATGCTTAACATTACATCAAAATCCACAATCATCAAGGCAATAATAGTACCACAGAACAGCTGAATAGTGGACAGGATATCACTTAAACTCCCATAAACACAGCAGTCAATCACCTCCACAAGAATAAATTAGTTGTTCCCATGGAATTGTAAGCAGTCAACACTAAGACAAACAACAGTTCCCCCAATCAGTATCATGTGCATGACTAGTCTGAAGTTTATAAAAAAACCAAACACCACCACTGTGGCTTTATCCAAATCCAATGCATTAATAAGATTTTGAAACTTACTGTCTTGTGTCCATTCTGACAAGCGACATGAAGGGCTGTCTGACCCATTGCATCTTCAACATCTACATTGCTGACATGCTGAACAAGATCATGAAGCAATTCTGTTCGTCCATTAACAGCCAACCAATGAATCTAAGTACAAAAGATGATACACAATTTACCTTTAGCAATGACATAGGTATTTCATAAACATGATTTTAAACCTGATTTTATTGCTGCCAACATTTTCTCTGCAAGAAGCTTTGAACACTATCATACACTCCGGAATTTTGATCACATCTTTTGATTCTTAAGGGCACCAGAGAGACAGCAGCTTTGTTTACATGTAAGACAGCAGAAGGTTAAGAAATTAGAATCTTCAAATTCTTCATTTGTTTTAAGAGCACCACGATAATCAACAGCACTTACTGCAGTCAAGCCTTCATTATTACAAATGTTGACATCTGCACTGTATTCCAGCAGCTTGCTCATACATTTCTTCTGGCTATAAACAAAAGAATACATTAAAACCCAGCCAGGGAAAAGCATTTATGAAGACCAAATATCTCCTTAGAGCTCCACTCACTCTGATTCATTATTGTCCAAATGACAGCAGGCAGTTTTACTTTATAAAGAGTATGGTACTGAGCATGTGAAACAGACGTGACCACCAGTAGCACCAGAGACACAGAGCACTGGTGTCTATCCTATGACAGCACAGGGCTAAAGACATTTGCACAGCTCAGTGTTTTTGTGGAAAACGCAGCACTACCTCACCACCACTCAGCTTCAGCTCAATGTGAACTACTCTCTCAAGACAATAAGCTAGACTTCAGCTAATGGAAATCCATGAAGTTCCTCATCATCTCTACACTTCAGTGATCACATTAAGTAATGATTTAGTCATGTACTCTAAATGAGACACTCATTGTAACACTTTGTAAATCTTTGGAAAGTAAAACAAGGGTCTTATGAAAGTAGGGGTGTTTCCTACCTCATGTTTTGTCTGGTCTTTCAACGCTCTCTAATGCTTTAAGTGCTTTACCCTTAAGAGTTTATTCTTCCTTTTCACTTGGTACCATTCTCATGCCACCTTTCCATTTAATTATCTGCTACGTGTGCTTCTGCATTTCATCATGTACTACCTGGCTGCTCCTTTCTCCTACAAAGACTCCTCCCACGTACCTAAAAGCCACTAAACATCACCACCTCCTCATTTGCAGTAGCAGACATGATACAATTCAGTTACTGTAACAGATACATGCTCTAAAAAGAAAAAGACCTTACTATTTTCAGTTGGGTGTTTCCACATGCTACAATTCAAGAAATATGATCATACAAGATCTCAAAAAGGCACTTGCTCACTGTTCTGTTTTGGTTCCCATTCTCCCCAAGTAATGAGCAAGTGAACTTTGTATTCCTTTCCTTGTGGTAAAAATTTCCTTGGAGCCACTACCTGAGAAAAATCTGACATCCTCAAGCCCTTCCAAACTCTCCAGTGTTCTCTTCGAAATCTTTTCTCACTTAACTAACTGGAAGGTGAACGCATCCCTTGGTACATCCCTGTTGTAAGAATCTTTAAGCTCCTGCTTAACAGAAAACACTAAAATGACTGGCACTGAACTTGGCATTTCAGGCTGAACTTCCTATTTATAAAGAATTACATTCTGAATAGTCAGCTATAGATTTTAACCAGCACGTTCCCTGTAAGTGTGCCATCTCTGTTTTCAAAAGTGAAACTCAAAGTACTTAATTTGAACTATGCAAAAATATTACAGAATGTATCAGCTCAAGAGCATTATGCACAAAACCTTCTAAAGAGTTTTTAAAGAGGTTTTTTCTTACCCATTCCTTGCTGCTAAATGGAGAGGTGTGCATCCTGAAATGTCCTGATAGTTTGGATTTGCTCCTTTTTTTAATAACAGAACAAGGCATTCAACTGATCCACAGCTAAGAACAAAATAAGGAAGGGAAAAACTGTAAAATGGGTATTTACAAACCAGATCTATACCAATGTAAAGACAACAGCAATACTAGGTACAGATTACATTAATTAGAAAATCTTTACACAAAACCATTTTTACACCGTCATAGTTCAAATTACACAAAGCTAAAGACATGTAAACACAGTGAGAACTGAGTGATCACAACTTGCACTACTGAACAGATGCCAGTCTCCTACCTGATTTTAGTGACTTTAAAACCCAACAGTGAACCTTTAAGACTGCCACTTGTTTAAAATGTAAACTGTTTAAAACACTTTGCTTGCTATTTCCTCTCTCCTCCTTCACCTTTAATCTATTCACAGGACTGGAGTTTCCATTAAATAAAAAATTCAATAGAATTCTTTTGTTAGACTTAAGCACCTGGAAGTTACGTTTAAAAGTTTAAATATCAGAAAAATTGTAAAACTCATACAAATGTCTTTGCTGTTTGTTTTGAACCTATAACTCCCTTTTACTTTCCATACTATAGCTGATCTTCAGGATAAACATTGTCACCAAGAACACAAACTTTGCATCATATGTTTATCTTACTACTGAACTTGATAAGAGAAGAGCTGATTGGAGGGATAAAAATACTGTATTTTTATACCAACACAACCAGCTCACCCCTTGTCACTCATCTTCTCAATGACAGAACCACTACACAACCACCCAAAGAAACTGAAGTTCAGCTGTACAGTAAATTGTGAAACCAGCACCTTGATGACCTCTTAAACACCCAACTACATAACATATAAAATAATCCAGACACAAAGTGTAACTCAATTTCTTGGGGTTTATGATCAGTAAGTACAGCTTTTCAAAGACATGTCTAAGATGTATGTTAAAAATTTGCTTGTAGAATTTTACATACTTTCTTAAGTATATTTTATATAAGCAGCACGTAATTCTGAGATAGAATGTTTGGGAACCAGATACTTCAACAGTCTGCTTCAAAAGCTGGAAATTCCACCTTTACTGTGCCCAGATACCTGCTATTTATATGCTATACTACTTATTTTTATTTGTATTTTTTTAAGACTTTAAAAGTAAGAACTTTCAAAATATTTAAAAATGGACCAAAATATAGAGCATTCATTCATTAGTTTAAAGTTTAATTTCCTGAAAGGCCATTTCAAAAAACATCTGGTGCATTTCTATTAAGGTTATGTTAATCCCTCTGTTTCTTGGCAATATAGACTCATCCCCATTGAAGAGCTACATAAACAATTCATCTAAGTCACAGATTTGAAATTTGCACTTAAGTCCTTTATCCAGGATGCAAAGATTTACTAGAAGTGAGCAACCAAGTTACATTCCCTTCAGTTATGGTTGCATGACGTACTCTGGAACAACAGCTTCCAAATGAACATAGAATTACAGACAATTTGGGTCGGAAGGGACCTCTAAACGTCATCTAGTTCCAACCCCCCTGCAGTAAGCAGGGACATCCTTAACTAGATCTGGTTGCTCACAGCCCCATCCAACCTGACCTTGAATGTATCCAGGGATGAGGCATCCACTGCCTCTCTGGGCAAACTGTTCCAGTGTTTCACCACCCTCACTGTAAAAAATGTCTTCCTTATATCTACTATCTTTTAGTTTAAAAACATTACCCCTTGTCCTGTCACAACAGGCCCTGCCAAAAAACTGTCCCCATCTCTCTTATAGGCCCCCTTTAAGTACTAAAAAGCCACAATAAGGTCTCCCCAGAGTCTTCTCCAGGCTGCAGAACCCCAACTCTCTCAACCTTTCCACACAGGAGAGATGCTCCAGCACTCTGATGATTTTTGTGGCCCTACTCTGGACCCACTCTAACAGGTCTTTCTCATGCCGAGGACTCCAGAGCTGGGCAGAGTACTCCAGGTGAGGTCTCAACAGAGCAGTGACTCCCACCGTTTCACAACACCTCAAAAACAAGCAGTGCCTGCAGATGACATTTCTCTCAATCTACAAAGGCAAGAGAGAACCAGCTATACATGATACATGTAACAGCTGCATTTCTTCACAGACTGAGATTTCACAGAAATTAAAACAGTATCCACCATGTCATCCTTCAATAGAATGTGAAAAGCCATTTGATATCATGTGTAAAATCTGCCCTCTCACTGAGGCAGGCAGACTGCTAAAAGAACAAGTGAAATACAAAAAGGAAGTGTAAAAACAAAACGTTAACTGATACTATGTAGTTTTCCAGCTTACATTGATGCCTTAGATTTGTGGTAATACTTTCATTGTTAACTTCTGGACTGGACTCAAGTAAGTCTTACTTTGCTGCAATATGAAGCAAACTTCTCTTGACACGTCCAAATGCATAATTCACTTCAAATTTTGAATTTGATAGCAGCTCTGAGACAGATCTTCAAATAGAAACATAATTTTAATTAAAAAATAACTCACAACATCCAAGCAAATACATACTCAAAGCTACAACCCAGTTACAAAAAAAAAAAATGCTTTTTTTCTTATCCCAGGACAATTTTCTCTATGTGCACCAACAGAGTAAGTCCCAGTTCCCATCTATGACGTAAAATAAGACAGGTGTCTCAGGTAAGAATATGCTGGGATGCACACAGTCAGTGACTAACTTCAGCTACACAAGATATCTCATCAATTCAGAAGCAGAACTCCTGAGAGTGCTCTAGCAGCTACAACTCTGGCAAACATGCTGTTTTTTCAAACCTTTAAAAAAAAAAATTAAAGAAGCTCTCACCTGTGCTGGTCAGCCATGACCATCGGCATCAGTGTATAGACAGCAGTTTCATTATCTGTGAAGAAATTAAATTACTCCATTGTCATAAAGAAATCTATTCTGTAGACTAAATTCATCTAGCAACTCCTATTTACCTTTTGAGGTGTCTACTGTTCAATAGAGCATTCTTTTTATACAAGTTCTACAAGTCTGAAGTTTCATTATAAAGAAAAAGCCACCATAGATGGTTAGAAGAGGTAGTTAACAGGATGGAAATTTCATGTATTGCAATGTGGCTTTTTTTCTTATACAAAGTGATAATTATAGAATTTTCAATGAAGCTTCAGTTTCTTTAAATTAACAATGCTGTTAATTAAGTCAAAGTATTTAGGAAATGTGCATTAACAAAAATAAAAAAGTATTTTATTTTAAAAAGAAAGAAACTTCCTGTGTTCCAAGGTGACTTTCATAGTCCTGATACCTGCGAGTTTGAAAAACTGATTTCTTTAAATAGTTACTCCAAAACCATTTTTGTCTCTGAACTTGAATGTCTAGAAATAAAATGAAATTTATTGCATTCAATCAGGTTCATATTCCATGTTTGACACTTTCTGAGAACTCAGGTATATGGTTCCAGGATACGGAAATACAAGACTATTCTCGTAAAACTTATTTTGAACTTTCTTCACCATCATCTTAATTTATCTAAATGCCAAAGTTACAAAGCAAGGAAGAACTAAAGCAGACCCAAACAAGTATAGCTTCTCACATCTTCCACACACTATGCTTGTATATGTTCACTGCTTCCACCAGATAGCAAGCTGACATTCACCAAATATTAAACAAAGAACTCTTCAGAGTTATCAAGTGGAGTCGGAGAAACCCTTATCATGGTGTAGCTACGCTATTTGGTTTTATCCTTCTACAGTACTCCAAGATTAGTGCTGCTACCCACTATTTGAAGCAGCCTGTCTGTAGCTAACAGAAGAAAGTGGCAATGCTAATCTAATATTACCTTTGGACACTGAAAAAAAAAAAAAGATTTCATAATCAAATTCTAATCACATTACTTCTGCTATTTATAAAAATAAAATTAAAAACTAAAACCAATGTTGCTCACAGTGAACTTGTATTGGATGAGACACAAGCCTCTCAAAAACACCAAAAGATGTTTCAAATCTGCAGAGAGTCATTCTAACCAAGTTCAAGGGTTTGAACAGTCTAGAGATGGTTCCTTACAGCCGAGCTCTGTGAGCATCAGCTAACTCCATCCCCAACAGGCACCACACACAGCATGACTGTTGGGGTGGGGGGACACAAGCCAGAAGGGAGGGGATGTGTGGAGGGAGAGTCCTGGAAATAAAAGTAAATGGATGCTAAATAAAGATATCAACTGTGGAAAAGACTTGCTCACTTTTTAAAAATGTATCTGTGATTAGCTCCCAGTATATATAAATGGAAACAAATTTCTTGCTTTAGCTCCATTCCAGGGATCTCTTGGCAGGAAGATACAGCTCTCCAAATGAAACAAAAACCAAAACTTGACAACATCAATTAAACCTAAGCATGACATCTTTATGTTTTTCCACAATCACATCCTATCAAAGAGAGGAGGCAAAAAAAAAAAGCTTTATATATACCAGCACACTCCACTGAAATGGTTAATACTGATCCTAGTTAAACTATAATGCAAATACAGTGATATTAAAAAAGACAATAGTTAAATGTGAGTGTAGCTGGGTCATAAAAGCTGTTCATGACCTATCTACAGAACGTAAGCCCTTTATTATGCTATAACCAGGATCTACAAGGTGGAGTAGATGCAGATTTTTCCCAGAGTTTTTCTGTACAGAAGTTATTAAAAGGGTGTGGGACTAAGGTGCTTTTGTGCCTGTTTTTGATAAATACTATCACTATTCATAAACAAACTCCTATCAACTTAAAGTACATGACACCAGGGAAAGAAAAATCATTACGTGCACTTACAGAACTTGTTACCTAACTTGCTTGCATTTCAAGTCATGAATATCTAAAGACAAAAAAATGCATCCAAAAATGCAGAATCAGAGCCAAAAAAAGCACCTAAAACCTAGCTTGGAACTGCAATGTCTAGTTTACAGGCACTGAGCCTTAACAGTAGAATCCAGAAATTTGTGTCAAGCTTTTAAGTGCCCAGAAAATGCCTGCTGAAGGACACTTCAGAAGAGTGATGATAAAAAAACACAACACTATTTCCTATTGGCAAGATCAACTCGGTGTATTCACTGACACTGAAATCAGGTGCTTGCTTAAAAAAAAAAAAAAAAAAAACTTAAAATTCATCATCTAGAATACTGCCCTGACAAGATACACTTATTGTTTTTTTTTTAAGAGATATTGGCTTGAATTTGGCAGAACTCACAATCTTGAAGAAGCCTCAGCACCATCCATATAGTACCCTACTGGCTACAGCACATGCAAGAGAAGTTCAGTAACTGGATTAGTGCCTTCTACAGCATGAGGAACATATATTTCCATTTCCTAAGAGAGTACTGTAACTCTTAGGTTAAGGATGGAGAGCTGAACCATGTATCTTTCAAATTAAAGCTAGGTAAATTCAAGACACAGCACACCAGAAGCCACCAAACTGCATGCCATACTTGACTGGGAGTGTTATTTTCTAAGCTGATCCTGTCAGTACATGTTCAGAGCAAAACACTAGAACCAAAACCTGCTACTCAAGGAGACTTTGGGCAAGCCTGCATGAACACCAAGGTGAAGAAAGACAATGGGTAATGAGCTAAGATGTACCCAAAGTTAGATGACCACTGAATGGTAGTTTTCTTGGAATGTGATTTGAGACTTCAGTGTCTGAAGTCCATTTATCACCTTATTTCAGCCTGGCTGCAATTTGTTTCTTAAAGAACACATACTTCTTAAAGAATATATAGAGTTGAGTAGTTCTCAGAGAATATTTAGGATTAGAGATATATAGGATTGGCAAACCTGCACTACAGGGCAAGAGAAGTACTTGTTCCAGAGGTCATATGGTTTGCATTTACACTACCAGACACAATTACCTCTGAGGTACAAGACCAGAATGCCCAAGATAGGAAGAAAACAACTGAACCCCAATTCAGAATGAATCTGCCTACACTAGTGGTGAAGTAAATTTAAAGCAGCTCCAACTGCCATATGTTGTGTTAGACATTATTCATATTACCATCACCAAATAGCTAAACTGGTGCTACTACATTATTTCTGTAAATCTGAGCTTACATTAGCAGTATTGCATCAGTTTTTATGCAGCCATTCAAGGGCTTACACAAAGCAGCAAAATCCATCTGAAACCCATCTATCAGTTTTGTAGAATTTAAGAGCAACGGCAGTGGCAGACACTGAAATTGTTGGTGAGTGACAATAAGGAAAGGGTGTAGCTGCTCGGCATAGGACGAAGTCCAGATGCAGCAGCCAGGAAGTCCATACATACAGAACACAGAACATTGCTCCTGAAATCTGGCAGACAGCAAAAAGACTCATCCCTAAAAATCAACCATGAAGGAAGTACGACAACACATGACTCACAGCAAAAACTTTTGCATATCCTAAAGCTTTTGCAGAGTAGTTCTCCCAGAAGTTGGACCTGGCTGGAACACTAAACTATCTGCCATAAGAGCCTGAAGCTGTGTTTTCAAATCCATCTGGACATCGGGTGGCTAGCACTCATCTGAAGTAGTTTGGAACGAAAAAAAACCCTAAGCTGTGACCAGTGACAGTTAGTCATAACACCTTCTCAAACAAAACTCAGCATTATAACAACAGCAAAGCCCACAAAGATTCGTCATCCCCCGCGTGCCACCACCGAAGCACCTAAGGAAGGGCTGAAGCCCGGGGAGGAGGAGGGCTCAGCACCTCAGCTGGCCGGGCCCGG